AAATCACTGCTGTAGACCTGGAAGACAAGTGAACAAGTAGCAAAAGGAAAGTCTTCACTACTGGAGATGCACCAAAAAAAAAAAAAAAAAAAAAAAAGTGCATAAGTAAACCTGTTCTGGTTACTTGAGTAATCCACTCCAAAACAGGGGTACAGACTGGTTGAAAGAAAGCAACCAGATCAAATATCTTTAACATTTGTAGGACAGGATTTTCCTAATGCAGTCTTTTGAACACTTTGCTTCTGTGACAACCATCTCTGGTACAAAGGAAAAATCACCTCTAAAGCTCTGTTGCTGGGCCTGGTAGGCATGGAACTTCACATGGCCAACAAAGAAGCATGCACTCAGACACCCTGATGCTAAGACTAATCATTTCTTTGCATGCCAATTTTGTCTAATCAGTCACTATAGGCTACAATAGTCCATATTATGACAAGTAGCCCTTGTCTTCTGTTGGATACAGAAGACAGCCCCCAGCACACGCACTCATGTTGAACCTTTTTGGGTCCTATCTGCATTCAGCAGAAAAGCTTTTCATACACCTAGGATTATACACACTGTTCTAGCATACTATCTGGGGAACACATTACGGCTTTTAAACAGAAAAAAAGTTTTTAAAATTCTAAATATTGGCAGTGAGTCTCTGGAGAAGAAAAAAGTAGGCTCTGGAAATGGCAGAAAGACACTCCAGAAAGAGTAGATTGATTTTATCAAAGTACCTATCAAATCTAGTTAAGAATAAGATGGTAGTCACTACCAGGTCAGTTTTTTGTGTATTTTGGCCCAGTGGTCAGACAGTACACCAGATACTGTCTGAAAGTGAGGTAACCCTAGACAAATTGCACCCACTCCCTAAGCAGCCACCTCTTCAGTAGAAATAAAGACCTAGTGAAATTGTAACTTTCCCAGGGCTTGGAGGGTGAGGTGAAATGAGGTACATGAAAGCACGGCACTGGGTATACCTACAAAGTTGGGTAGAATTTCTGCTCAAGTTAAAATGTCTTTATGGCTACCCTGAGAATTTCTGCCTCCTAATTATACTTTAACTTCTGTTTGACAATCCATTACCGAAAGTCCAAATAGCTGGGCTGCTAGCAGCCTGTCAGCATAGTGTGGACACAAAATGCTGTGTTCTCATTATGTTGTATTCTCAAGCCTGCCCATCACACTTCCCCAAGCATTCCCCAATTATCCCAGGACAGTGTGCCCCACAAAAGTCATAAACACACATTCAAAAAGCAGAGAGCAGAATGTATTTCATGGAAAAGACTTAAAATATTGACTGTCAAGCATCCCTGATGTGTCTAAGTAGCTGTTTGTTAATCATTGCTTTAAGCATATAGTTTCCCAAGCAAATATTAATTAATGTTCTCAATTTAATATTAATTAGGAATAAAGGAAAAAATTCCAAAGTCACCACAGAACTGATTATTAATAATTGATTCACATAAAACTCTCAGAACATGTACATGTGTCTTCCAAAATGAAAAAAATTCAATGCCCCTGTTGGTCTGCTGGAATTCATTGAGCTGAATAAAGACTCAGATTCTGAGGCCTTCAGTAGGAGAGAGCCTTCAGTTCATCAATCTCATAGGCGGGTCTGTTCCTTCTAGACACCAACAGTCAGAGGTGATGCTTTACTCTTAAGAAACACAGCCATATTCTAATATTCATTTAGGACAGGGAAGGGGAGAGTAGTTAATAAAGAGATTGAAGTGATGTGGAAAATGCAGTTCAAATGAATATATTCAACTCCTCTACCAATCACGGGTTTCACAGTAGAAGAGGAAATATTTGCCACCAAAAAGTTGCAGGCCTAAGAAAAAGCAAAATACCGGATGGTCTCACTCATAGCAGGAATCTAGAAAACTTAAATAAGGGACCAGGAAAATGAATAACTATAAGAAAGTGAAAATCAAAAGCAACAAAAAACTATGAACCAGAGATACTCTATGGGGGGTAGGGGACGGGAGGGGAGGGATTGGGGTCAAAATAAGGGGGTTGCAATTGTATGGGGAATATAAAAATAAAATTTATTATTAAAATAAATAAATAAATAAAAATAAAAGATTATCTAAACAAAAAAAAAAAAAAAAAAGTTGCAGGTCTGCTTTGAAGAAGCACAGACAAGCCCAGTGATCTGCCCTTCCAGGTGCACTTCATTCTCCTGCCTTCACTCAAGTACATCAGTATGAAGATTCCCTGTGAAAAGTCCTTAATTATCAAGAGTGGTAACAGTTCCAGCTGGGAATGCCAGATCTCCAGTTTGCTGGTACCTCAGAAACTTGCCACTCTGCATATACTAGTTACTACCACCATAGTTTTCTAAAAGGTTAAGTTGGATATTTAAAATAAAATCTCTTAAAATAAAAATACAGGTTCTTGTTTTTTCATAGCGCAAAGGAAACAGATATCACCTGACATATCATTAGGAAAGCCTAGCAATAACAGAATTCTGTTTACTGGGTTTAACAGTGTATTAAAGAATACCATTTTACGAGATGTTGCATCTATGCTCAAGAAAATTGAGATTTTAAAGCATGAGCACAGAATGAAAAAAAAATCCCTGACATCTGCAAATTGGCCACAGAACTTAGTTCCTAATAAGAAGAGTATTTTAACTTAAGCTGAAACAATCACACAATATTTTATTTTAAATGTCTTCAATCATCATTTTCAATTGCTCTTTTACTCCTCACTAAATACAAATACTTTAAATGCCAAGAATATAAAAGAACCATGCATTCAACTAATACGCATAAATACCACATACTTTAAAGGTCTTGTATTGATAGCCAAAGGCTTTAAACCACAATGGACTCTAAATTTGCTAAGAATTAAATCTATTAGCTCAATATAGGCCAACTTAGTACAAGTCAGTTTTCTGTTTGCAAAATAGATTTGTTTTTGCCTTGATATATCCCAAAGTATACAGAATTAAAATAAAAATACCACAACCTGATTCACCCTCTAACCAAAAGGAAGAGGTAACTTGAGATTTTCTTTTGAGAAAAGAAGGCACTTATTTCTAAGTAAAACTATAAAATCAGTGTACAGTGAATTCCTGGGGCCCACAATGGAAGGAGGGGGTTGACTATAAAGGCACAAAGGGGCTTTGTGGGGAAAATTGTTCTATGTCTTGATTATGGAGGTGATTATATGACTATGTACAACTGTAAAAATTCATAGAGGGGCACAAAAAAGGCTAGATTTTATGTAAATTATACTGCAATAAGCCTGTCTTCAGAAATGTTATATCTAAAACATGCTAGGCACTAAATTATGAAGTCTAATATTCAGAGGTATAGTTCTTTAGCGTTCCATTTGTAATTATAAAAAAACAGTAAATGATTCAAGTAATCTTCAATGTTCTATACAATTATTTTATATATATTTATAAATAAATATATATATAAAATGACTCAAACTATGAACTAGAACTAGATGTGTTTTTAATAATTTCTTGTTGGATACACATATATATAGAAAATTGCAGTATCTTATTCTTTAAAATGGACATCTACTAGATGTTGACATCTATTAAATACTAACCACATTTTTAAGGTTTGATTTACTACTAAATTTTGCCTTTTTGCATTATAAATTTTGAGAAATGTAAAAGGTGATTAGATTGACAAAAGTCCCTCAGAACCACTATGAAATGTATCTTCAATGTGCTTTTAATTGATTTCAGAACTATATCCCTCAAGTATTATAGGAGACTGGCTATGTTTGAAATAAGAATGTTTCAGTAATTCAAATGAAAAAAATACTAAAGGTAAATGGAATATATTAAGGCTTATGCTATTAACACCTTCTGAAATAGATCCTTACATTTTCCCTCTTACAGAATGTATGCTGAAACAAATTTCCTACAGGAAAAATAAGAGTCAAAGTGTAATATTCTTTCTTTTTTTCTCTCATCACCATTTCCCCAATTTTCTTTACTGGGGTAACACTGGCTTACAATACTGTAGATGATTTAGAGGAATAGAGGAATAGGAGATTGACACCTCCTCAGATGTATGTTACATACCACACCCACCAGCAGCGTGTAATGTTCTTTCGCAGTTACCGTATATTTACTCCTTTACTTCTCACAAACTCACAGAACAAAGCTTTCTTTTCACATATTCACTTTTTAAACAACAAACATCTTTCTCCACACAAGGGAAAACAGCCACAATGAAATTAGAAACATATAAAAAGTAAAAATTCCTAATGGGGGTGCCCACGTAAATACTAAAATCTAAAATAAGGCAAAAATTTTTCCTCCAAATATTATGTATCACACCAAAACACAAAGTTGCTTTTTAAAAAGTTACTAAAATTGAGTCAACTTTATTTTCCTAAACAGAACTTCACTCAAATCCAAAGTCTTGTTTTTCAGAAAAATACCTCGAGTAACACTGGGTTAAGAGCAGCAGCTGATTTTCTCTAGAGCAAATAAAGCACACCAGAGTTTAATCTTGTCCAGTCCTCGCAGGGAAGGAGTAAATCTGCTTTCTGACATGACTAGGGAATGCCCGTTAAGTACATTTAAAAACACTGGTCGTCTGCCTGATACGCACATACCTTCCCAAAACTCAAGCATGAATCTCCTGGTTCAACTTCCCCACTGTCATCATCTCACCTGCTGTCAGGAAATTCAGAGAAAAAAATCCAGAATTTTTTCGTTTAAAAAGACATACATCTGGCCAGTACCCAAGTTCTTGTCTAAATAAATAAAACAAAATAAAATCTTTAAAAAGACAACCCAGATCTTACAGGCACAAATAAGTTAATTTGTTGGCGTCTTGAATGAACCTCCTTAATCAGAGCATGAAATATGTTTCCAGTAGTTCTCAAGACAGTTGGAATTGTTTCTGTGTTGTTTTTTGATTGTTTGTTTTTTGGAGAGGGGATCCTTTATGGGTCTCAATATTTACTGGTTTCCCCACCGCAAGATTTCAAACAGAAAATCAGACCATTAAATAATACCTTGACGAGGGGGCACCTACCTTGCAGGTCAGCAGCCCAGCGATCTCTCAAGCTCGGACGCGTGCTCCTGCGGGAGTAATTGTGAACTCGGCCCCTCTCCCCCGGGGTCCCTCCGCCTCCTCTGCCCCCCGCAAGTTCCCAGAGGCGGTTCTCCAAGCCTCCGCGCTTAGGGCCGCCTCGCCGCAAGGATGGAGGAGTGAGTGTCAAAAAAGGTCCAGTAGCAGAGACGCTGCAAAGATCACAAACCACTTAACAAGCCTCTCCTTCCTTTTAAAGACGTGGAGGGCGGAGGGAGAAGCCTCCTGGAGCCCACGTGACCGCTGAGCGCCAGCCTGGTGATTGGGGATTTAAGCGGACGCCTTACCTGGCAATCCATGCTCACCTGGGCGGAGTGCGGGGGATGGTCCCAGCGCAGGGGATGTTACCCTCGAGCAAATCCCGGGCATCCTAGAGGTAGCAGAACACAAATGGCGCCCCCGTTTCTCAACTCTAATTTAGGGGGTCCGGGAGAGGGTGGGCGCTGAAAATGTGCATTTCTAACCAGGTCCGGGTGAGGCTGACACTGATGCTTACCCTGCTGAGGACCCACACTTTAAGGAGAGTTTGAAAGGGACGAGAAGCTTCGGCGACATTAAACACAGAAATCTGACTAAATTCAGTGGTGAAACTGGAGAGCTTTGGATTTGTCCAATCCCTCGCTGCAAGCGCAGGCTGGTGGCCCCTAGAAGGGCAAGACCACACCACCATGGCCAGGAGCTAGAGGGTGCAGGTTTTTTAAGGGGCTGGCTGCGCAGAGCTTTTGCGTTAGTGCAAAGATCTCAGGAACCTCCTCAAACTCACCTACCGCAAGGACGCACCGGCGGGAAATTTGTGTCTGGGTTTCGGCGCACCCCACTTTCCCCGCAGGTCTCCGTCCAGTTCATGCCTCAGACGAGCGCCCCCTGGTGATAGATTTCGTTTTCTCCAGCTTTACAGGGTCCTAAGCAACGGGCTTTAATTTGGGGTGGTCATAGACTGCGAAAATCCAAAGGAAAATGGCAGGCGTCCCAGATCACGTTGTGAGACCCCAGTGCTGCACTTGTGCCTAATTAATCACCAAACTATCCTTATAGATGGCATAAGGAACATGGATCTTAGTGCAGTTGTGACTCCAGATCTCTGATAGAGGAAGGCTATATCAGCACTTGGAGGAAACTTACTGTTCCAGCCTCAAATATTTGGGATTTTGGAAAAAAAAAAAAAAAAGGAATACTAGTGTGCTCTGAGTTCCAAATATAAAGAATCACCTACTTTATAAACAGTGGTTATTAAAAATACCTACCACATAACTTGCAGTTCAGTTTTCATTAAAGCCAGGATTCTGAATTCTCTCCAGTTCGAGAGCAGTTTCCTGATCCTTGAGGCAGAGAAATTCGTTCTGAGAAAAGGTGTGTAACTAAGAGACCCATCCCAGGAGGAACTGTGGAGGACAAGGTGCTTATCCTTGCCAATCTCAGTATTCCTGTTCCTTCTTCTGGGTGTTTCTCTCGGTACCCAGTACCTATATGCTCCTTAATTCTCTCCATCTTAAAGAGAGAAATTTAAATGATGAAAAATTAGTTCTGTGTGGTGGTCCTTGCTTGTTAACAAGATACCTCTGGAATGAAAATTATAATGAAGGCATTTCAGTCATGAGCCAACAAAGATGATGCAACAGTAAAGAAACCTGACATCTAGAAGGCAAACGAGAGGGGCCTCCCTGGTGGCACAAGGGGATAAGTCCCAGCATTATGAAGCTATCAGCAGCCACTGCAGCACATTCTATCCTGGCCAGAGAGCTACCCACATTAACGCAGCAGACCTCTCTTGCCTTGCCTGCTGCTCCTCTCCTCTCCCCTCAGCAGTGTATTTCAGTGGATCTACCTGTTCTGCTCCCCACTCTGTCTCTGGTGAATCCTCTCACCTCCCTGTACCTCTGGCCTGTACCCCAGTTCTTGTATGCATGAATAAATAAAAATAAATCTTTTTTAAAAATAATAAAAAATAAAAGCCAAACTAAAAATTAACTCTTGAAGGCCAACTGTGAAATGGGGGCAACCAGAAGGGGAAGAGGGAGGAGAAGGGGAGAGAGAACAAAGAGGAAAGGGAGCACAAGGGTCTATGGTGATGGACTACAGATATTTTGGTGGTGGGCCTACTATGGCTGTCATGCCTAAAGTGGGGGGGGGGGCTACACTTCCATAATGGAAACAATGTTGCAAACCAATATTAACTCAAGACAAAATATTATAAAAAGAAAAAGATTAATATCAAGTATCTACAGGTGCCAGAGTCTGCTAAGTGCTTATGCAGCATCTCATTTAATCCTCATGCCACCTCTGTGAACTAGGTAATATAGACCCTTCTTTTTGACTGAGGAAACCGAGACTCTCAGAGTTTATCCTGGAAGCCACATACAGTAAGTCAGGACCCAGCAGAGCAATGCCTTTGTAGACAGCTATCACTTATTGGGCATTTAGCCATACCCCATGTTATCTCACTTCAATTACAACAAGCTTTTAAGGTAAATTCCGGTAATTAATGACACACTTTTAGGGTTGAGAAAATAACCAGCAGTGACTGAAAAGGATTTGAACCCAGGCCAGAGCCCAAGACTATTCTCCATACCATGTCCACAACCAATCAGAAACGAAAATAGCTTGAATGTCAGGACATGACAACTCCTACTTACAACCCCCAACTTAAAGTCTCCTGCCACCTGAGACAAGCTTCTGCTCAACCAGCTAGAGCTCTCTTTGCTGTGATGTTTCCTCCACAGGCATTCCACTCACAGGAACAACATGTTCTCTTTTTAAAGACCCCCCCAACACCCACAGAAGCTCTTTATTATACAAGGAAACCTCATTGCAGGAAAGATTAAATAAAGAGAATGAATGGGAATGAGTACATTTCCTTCTGACTCACCCTATAGATTAAGATAAAGTACCTTAAGGATGGAACCTTTGCCTAGCTTAATGCTGTGAGTGGGAAGAGTAATTATTCCAAACCTAACTGAACAATGACCACAACTAAGAAAGGATTCTTGAGACAGTTAATACCAATGGCTAGGCCAAAAAGCACCCTGAAATCTAGCATTGAGCGTTGTGACTCTGCTGAGCAGGGATCCAGTCTTGTACCCACTTCATACATGACCTGCCAAAGGAAGCACCCACATACCATGGGATCAAAAGGCCTGCCTCCCCCATTTATAGCCTACCACAGGAACTAAAGTTCTCACCATGTGAAATAAATTGACTGAAATCACCTCACCTCACAAGACTGCTTCCTTTGGGGCTAATATATTAGATTGTTAAAAGTCAATCATTTTATGCAAATGGCCAAGAGGCATATGAAAAAATGTTCAACATCACTTGTCATCAGGGAAATGCAAATCAAAACTACCATGAGATACCATCTTACACCAGTGAGAATGGCACTTATTAAAAAAACTAGCAACAACAAATGTTGGCGAGGTTGTGGAGAAAAAGGAACTCTCCTGCGCTGTTGGTGGGAGTGCAAACTGGTCCAACCACTATGGAGAGCTGTGTGGAGATTTCTGGACCTACTAAACATAGAGCTTCCATATGATCCAGCAATTCCACTCCTAGGTATTTACCCAAAGGACACAGAAACATCAATTCCAAAGAGCACCTGCACCCCTATGTTTATAGCAGCACTATTTACAATAGCTAAGCTTTGGAAACAACCCAAATGCCCAAAAATAGATGACTGGATCAAGAAGATGTGGTACATAGACACTATGGAATATTACTCAGCATTCAAAAAAGATAAACACATGCAATTTGCAGCAACATGGATGGAGCTGGAAGGGATCATGCTCAGCGAAATAAGCCAGAAAGAAAAAGAAAAATACCAGATGGTCTCACTCATAGCAGGAATCTAGAAAACTTAAATAAAGGACCAGGAAAAAGAATAACTATAAGAAAGAAAAAATCAAATCAAAATCAACAAACAACTATGAACCAGAGACACTCTATGGGGAGTGGGGGGCAGGGAAAGGAGGTCTTAGGGTCAAAATAAGGGGGTGGTAATTGTATGGGGAATATTAAAATAAAATTTAAATTAAAAAAAGTCAATCATTTTATATGACAGATAATATTAATTTATACCATTTATGATTATACTAGTGCTATGAGCTTGCATGATGAGCTAAAAGACACCTGGGGAAGTATGGGAAATTGGCACAGGACATAAACATTTTTCTACAGGAGGAAGAGAAAGTCACTTTATAAAAGTGTCCTTCACTTTTTCATCCTTCCCTTTCTCTAATAATCCTACCCATCATACAGCTGAGAGCTTGAATAAAACCAAAGACCATGACAGCAGAAGGTATACACTGCCTCCACTTGCCCTCATCCCACCTATCAGCACCGCCTGTGCTGCAATTGTGCAGAGCGCAATCTTGTATCTCTAGTTTCCCCATGTCCCATAGTGGGTCCTATAACACCCACCTACTATTACCTCTACATTCAACAAATACTTGCTGAAGGTTTCAACTAGGAAAGATCAGAGGGAAAGAGGGATTTTCTGTAGCAAAAAAACTGCCAAGAGGGAAAATAAACAGATGCTATAGAAGGCAAGAAAGCAAATGTGGAAAAGGGCAGAGGAGGGAGGTATCCCGTAAATGATTAATAGAGTGTCATAGGATGGCTGTGGACTGTTGCACTTCCTTTGTGAGTCTGAGATCAAGTGGGAGTATTTAGGTCCAGGGATCTTCTTACCTGCTCCAGAGTATAACAGGATCAGGCTCATTCTTCATATTATGGGGGTATAAATAGGTCTGTTTTAAGAAAATCTAAGAGATGAAACCCTAAAATTGTGGAGTTAAAAGGGAAAGACTTATCACACCTGAGATGACATCTTTAATTGGTGGAGATGAATGGAAGAGGCGGGATCACCAACTCCCCATGTCAGAGGTTATCTCAACTCAAAATAGAATTCAAAATCTCAAAGTTGGATTTGAGTAGCACTCTTTAGGATCTGTCTTTTGTTGAAATAAAAGTAGATCTAATATTTATGCAGCATCTTTGCAGCCCAGGCACCATAGTACACAGACTTGGCAAGTTGGTTCATTGCAAATTTCATTTAATCCTCACAACTATTCTGTAGCTGTCTCCGCTTTATAGATGGGGAAACTGAGGCTCAGAGACACATTTCATACATAAGGACACCAAGTCACATGAGGCAGAATGAAAGTTCCAATTGAATTTTGTCTACTTACCTGCTAATCCCTTCATTTCTCTGCTGTTACCGTATGATTTTTTTTATTATTTGTTGTATAAACTGAGGC